CAATATCTATATTAGTATATTACTACTATAGTATATTAATATATTATTATTATTATTTTATTATATATTATAATTTATAAAATTTAATGTTTTAGAATATAATAAATTTTTTATATATAATTATTTTATATTATTTTATATTTCAAACAATAACGATTCGAACACGAACGAACGCATCACTGTTCGTGTTTGGTTCGTTTAACTAACCGAACGAAAAAAATTTGTTCGTGTTTGTCTCGTTTACTTATCGAACGAATCGAACACGAACTCATTGACGAACCGAACACGAACTGTTCGCGAACAACGAGCTTTTTTGACAGCCCTAGCGAGCGGGTGGCGAGGGCCGGCGATCAGCGGCATTGGTGGGAAGTAGTGGGGGGGCAAACGGTGGTGGCTTGTGGGGGAAGGCTGTGGGTGGCGACCGGCAACCGATGGCGACAGTTGAGGTGGCCTGTGGGTGGGAGCCTACGTCGGGCGGGGGCAGGCGATAACGATAGTGGAGACGGTGGCAACAACGGGAGGAGGCGGGCGACTGTGGTCGACAGCATCGATGGAGGCGACGACGGAAAGTGGCTTGCGATGCAATTAGCGATTGGTAGCAACGATGGAGGCGACAAAGGGCAGATGCTTACAACAGGCAGCAGCGGCTAGAGGCGACTAACAACCAACGACGGCGGAAGGTGACTGACAACCAACGGCGAAGAAAGTTGACTGACAACCAACAGCGACGGTAAAGCCAAAGGCTGCAAGTAAACGACAGCAACTGACAGGCAGCGGCCTACAGTGGCAATGGTTAGATGGTGGGTGTTCCATTGTGTCTGTGATGGGAGGTTAACTACACCAACGGGCTAGGTGAATGTTTATTTTGATGTTTTAAAAACAGAAACATATTTTTTAAGTTTTTAGTATTTTCAAAATTAAAATATTCTCCCAAAAGATAGAAAATAGAAAAAAAAAACAACAAAATTTAAATAAACTATGAATTCTAAATCTATCCATGAAATACTATGCAAATGAAACCTATCAAACAGCCAAATTTTCAAAATGTGAATGTGAAAATTACAAAGCCAGGATAGGAAACAAACTATTTAATAGTGTTATTTGTTATGTGATATTAAATATTTGAGTGTAACTCCACGAATGAGATATGTAAATACATAAGAATTGCGTGCAATGTATGTAAATGTTCCAACCAAGATTCCACTGACTGTTATTTCTTCAACTTTCTATCATTTCTGTGCCTCTTCCTAAAATCTCGCTTCTCTAAAGAGTACTGCTTCTTCGTCAACAAATTCTGCATTGCAACTTTCACCGCCGCCGTAGCAGTCGCAGCTAAAGCTGCATCCTTCTTCGTGACATGAACGGTGTCCTGCAATTTCTGGAGCAATTTCTCGCCGCCCGGCACACCTTCATTCTCCAGGATGACAGGATAGTCTCCAGGTTCATTCGAAAGAAACTTGTCGAGATCAGAAAGGACCTGAAGCCGAGCCATCTCAGAAACACCTAATTTAGAAACATTAGATGCACCCATTACCACCCACAACCGTTTGGCAGAAGAACTCAACCCTAAACTTGTAGGCACAAAACTTCCTTCCATGAAAACAATCTGTCATATAAAATGAAATCATTGGCGTTGAGAAGGATTTGAGAGGTCAATGTTGGCGTTTAACTACAACATCCAATCAAATCAAATGAGAATTTATCAATCTTCATTATTTTTTTTCAAAATATAATTTCGAATTTCAACCCCTGAAATGAGGCATTAGTATTAATGAAAGTGAAGTTAAAAGCTGAATTATGCTAAAATAAAAAATTCAAGAAGAAAAGTTTTGAAAGGGACCAAAATAATAACTACAGGGTGGCCGACTGGACTCTCTATCAATAGTTTTTTTTTAAGTATTTTTTAGTCCTAAGTTCACTGTAGAGTCTCACCTTGGCGATTGAAAGACTCCTAGCAGGAACATCAATTTTCAGGATCATAACTCCATGTAAACTGCAACGTAAGGCAAACCATAAACATAAGAGCATCCTAGTAACGTAAATAAGAAAATTTTCTACTTAAAATTAATGAATATTTAGAAGTTCACAAACTTGCCCTTGAATGGCAGCAAAAACTAATGATCCGTCCAGAAAAGCATTAATGTCTGTGACCGCCAGAGAATCGTCGACCTTAGATTCGAGCAATCCAGCCTTGAAAAAAAGACTTTGATTACTTGAGACATAAAAACCACAATATTAACAAAAATGAATTTTAACACATGAATTTTTTCATGTTTTTAGGACATTTTACACAAGTTGGTTCATAGGAATCGGGATTTCAAAACTAAGATAAGCACAAAAAAAAACAAAACAAAATCGAACAAAGAAGTGCGAAAGAAATAACACGATGAAAAAGCGCAAACAAAATTTTTGTTCAAGGACTATCAAAACTTCCAATGATCAAGTAGAGCATCAAAGAAAAGTTAACCACAAAGCTATTATATAATATTGAAACAGATAAAATTAAGCCAAAAGGTTTTGAATTGTACAATAAATTTTGAGCCACATAATGGCTGTCCACTTTGTTTGGGCTGCTTATTGTGCTATCCTACTGTTGTAAAAAAGCTTTCCTTCGTTTTTTTGCCCGATTCTTTGTTACATATGCTATACTACATCTATTTGCTGACCAACTCCCCTGTCCTCTGTGATCTAAAGTGTTTGATCTATCGGTACTCCGCTTCCTGCAACAGTTACTGGCTGACATAATTTCCTCAGATCGTCGACATAAGAGACGGCAACCATAGAATATTAAGTTTCGTACAGCTTTATTTATTATTTTTTGCGATATTTCTGCCGATTGATTGCAATCCTTTATTTGGTAAAAGAGATTTTCAACAATTTTTAAAGGGCATTTACATACATAACACTCAATTCAAGTTATTTAAATAGCTAACACCAAAACTTCTTAAATTTATACCACCCATATGTATCATATCGCATCAACCATACCACTTTTGTAACTTTTAAAAAGTGAAATATGCCTTTTCATGAATTGGTAAGGTGGCATACATGTAAAAATTGAAGTTTAGGTGTTAGGTCTGTATATACATAGGAATTGAGTGTATGTATGTTAATCTTCCAATTTTTAAATTCTAAATAAAGGGTTTGGAATGTATGTAACTCATTGGTTAATGAATAAATGTTTGGTAGAGTGCATAATTCCTTCTTGGATTTAATTCCTTTATCAAGTAAAATACTTGGAACAATTCCAAAAGATACGATTTCCTTGGAACAAGAATGGTAAAGTTTGCTTCGTTGGAGATTTTTTTACCTTCTATCTTACTTCAATGTTAGTTTTTATAATTGGTTTGAAAGTTCAGCTATGTTTAGTTTGACTAGTGTTTCTCTCTGAAGGGCAGAATTTTGATTGGAAATGTGTTAATTTCTAGAAAAATTTCATACATCTTTCCTCTGAATAAATGCATATCATGTTTTTCTTTTTCATCAGTATTCTATGGCTGTTTTGAATTACCAGCTCGTGTCATACAATTTTTTTTTGTATATATTCTGCTTTTTTTCCTTTCTTTTTCTTTTGCTTCTCATGTTAAATTTCCTGTGAAAAACCTAACCCTAACATGTGAGGATGTATGCTGGTTTAGATTTGTGGAAGGAAAAAAACACTTTTGGTTCTAGATTAACGCACAAGAAATTCAACAAGAAGACACAGCTAAGAATGCTTTGGTTCCATCCACTGCCGTTCTTTCAAGATTCTGTCTCCATTTATAGCTTTCACGGGATTTGCAATGAGTTAGTTGAAATTTTGAAAAGATCAGAGCTTTTAGAAATATATCTGATGAATTATTATCTGTTGAAATCATTATAATCTCCACAATCCCATTAGCAACTACCTACTTTATGAAATGGAACTTTACATCTACATGTTTGGATCTTTCATGATACCTTGAATTCTTGCAGAGAAATACTGCTCTTTGATTATCATAAAACACAAGCACAAGAGAAAGCATTGGATTCAAAAATCAACACTTTCAACAATATAGCTTCTTTTGTGAATGCAGCGATGCATTTAACTTGAATTGTAGAGAAGGCTACAATTGGCTGCAAATTTGCCTTCCAACTTAATGTGTTTCCAAACACCTTAAACACGTCCTGTGAGGAATCTTTACAATGCACCCCATTTTGATTCCTCCAGTCAAGTAGTATATAAGAGGCTGGCAATCCAATCATACATATTTATTACTAACATTCATCCTCACTTTACTAATTCAAACAAAATGGGTGATAACTATTTCACCTAGATTGTCACAGAATATATTATATATATTATTTACATGATCAATAGATATATTCATCAAAACCATTAATATATAAGCATACACAATTCAAATTTCTTAAAATGAATTACAAAGTTTCTAATTTATTAATATATCAAATGTCTTTAATATGCATCATACACTTTCTTCTATGATACACTCAAAATAGTACATCAAAACACTAAATTGAAGGACCAAACTTAATGACCTTATCATAACTCAATATGCTTCTTTACTTTAACCTAAAACAACAATTAAAATGATGTCTAATGAGCATAAAGCTTAGTGATATAAATAACTCTATAACAGTTCAAATTATTAAGAGAAAAAAAGAAAATAATATGGATGCTTGTCTTTAAACTTATGAGCATCAATAACTACAGATATAACTAGATAGGATTTATCGATTAAACATGTAAAAGACAATCATAAACAATAAACACGAATGTTTGCCAGAAATGAAATAAACCATCCAATGTCTAATCATTCAAAGCACTATGCCAATCCGATGTTTTTTCAAAATACTTATTTTATTCTTATTTTTTATTTATATTCTTATTTATCATAATAATAGAAGTGACAATATAAAACGTATCTAAGATTTGGCGTATTTAGGAATCATATGATTGTCACCCAGCCCCTTTGGCTCATTAGAAGTATTTATAAAGGTTAGATTTGCTCTAACAAAGTGATTATCAAATGACTCAACATGATGATTGAAGAGCTCCAGCATAGCTATTATCTAGAGTCAACAATCCATTTAGAATGCTATTAAGGCTTTTCTCGAATGATTTTTTATCCCCACCTGAGCATGACATCATAATTTGCCAGCTTAACTCATATGACACAAGCTTTCATAAACTTCTTATTTAGTAACGGTATTCTAAGCATTTAAAATATACTTAATATTTTTATAAACATGCTATCATCAATTTGCATTAACATGTAATTGAGGCATAAATATGTAACAAGGGAAGTAACGTATGAAATCTTGAATATGCATGAAAGGCTCTAAGACTTACATAACTTAAAAATAACAAGTACTTGGTCATAACAGGTGAACATGTGTAATGCATTAGGCTTCTTAATAGCACAGATACTACAAATATAATATGCAGCAGCGTCAACAAGCATAAACATAAAATTCTAATACAATCATGGGAATTGATACCTCGTCTTTTGGCCAAGAATTTATTTGAAAAAGAAACTCACTACATAAATTCAAGGTCCCATTGGGAACTATGAAAATCTAACTTTTAGTCCCAAGAAGTAATACCAAAGTGTTCAACACTAATCCCCTCCCCCATCGGCGGATGTTACTACATCAGAGTACTTCTGCGCAAATAATTTGGAACAAATTTTAATCTATTCCTTGAAACCTAAGACAATTGTGCCTGCTCCTGTTTTTGGAACATCTCAACTCACTCCAAATTACAAATTTAGTGATGATTATAATTTCAGCAACCTTATGATTTAGACACGATCATTCAAGGAGGTGATACTCTTATTGATAGGAGGTTTCATATCTTATCTACTAGACATGGCCCAAGTCAAAAGAAAATTTATCACGATTCCCTAGAATTCATAAAGCTTCAATCAAGGCAATCTAACTGAGTTTTTTCTTTTTAGCTTCGAATTTCTATTGAATTTTGCATCCTTAGACATCGCATTATCTTCGCATTTTCCCTCTTTTCTCTAGCAATTCCTCCAAATAGCCCTTGTACAAATATCATTTTTTGGTTATAATAATATGCCTTAAGAAATATATTACTTCATCATTTGATTGTGTAGACCAATAAAATCTCTTCCCAAGAAATCTCCATGACACTATTTTAAATGTGGACACCAAATGATTTTGGTGTAGATTTGTTTGGGCAGAGAAGCAAAATTCATTGCAAAAAAAAATTCCAGTAAAAAAATGTACACATGATAGTCATTTTACCTTTTTTCCAACATCAAAAGTATGAAGGAGGCATCCAGAAACATGATCCCACAGCCTAATCTGAAAAGCAACGATACCTATCCTGAGGCAAGATATAAATGGAGAAACTTCACATTCCTAGCAGTCTAAATGTACATACTGTTGCATCGCCGCCTCCAGATAAGAGCAAAATCTGATGGCAATCTGGGGGCCGTATGAAGGTAAGGCAAGATACAAAGCTGTTAACAAACGGTGATGACCATGAATCAGTATCCATAAAATTATTTAAGGATATCTTTGTGGAAAGCAATGGATATCGGACAACAATTAGGTAAATCTGCAATTCCACTATAATTCACTGTGTTGCTCCACTCATGTTATACACTAAGTCAATGTTCTTGTTCATAAATTGCAAGGAACCGATGACTTAATTGGCGATAAAATGATAAACTGTCAGTAAATGCACAAATAGAAGAGTAAAATATTCGGAATCGATCCATATTAGATTTCTTTGACTTTATGCTCACAACACAAATATACTAATTATAATTTTACTTGGATGACCTGCACCAAACTGCCTATATAATTCCACACAAGTGCAAAGAAATTCCGCTTAAGCAAAAATGTAAAAAAAGATTTAGGTTGACTCAATGAACTATATAGATGGTGTAATGCTACACTTCGGTAAGAGATATTACACAAAAGATTAATATATTGAATTTAAAAGTACTAGAATATTGTAATGGCCAGTAAGAACCATTATTTAATTCTGATTATGTTGCATTATTTCTTTTGATTTCCTTCCATTTTCTATTAAATTCAATTTTATTTCTTTTCCTTTCTATTATATCATGAGTATATTTTTTTCTATCTAGTTGACCCTCTAATGGGTATATATACCCCTCTTTGTATTAATAAGAATTATTCTGCTTCTATTCCAACATGGTATCAGAGCCATGGCCCTAACCTAGCTGTCAGTCTCTATCTGCAGCAGGCTAGGTCTAATTCCGGCCGCTGGGAATTCTGCACTCTGTCCAGGTTTCAGGTTTGTCGTAGGTTGCTGCACAGCTTCAAGCTTCTGAATGCTGCACTGCTTCAGCTTGCTGATCTTTATCTATCGCAGATTGCTTCCTGCTTCCGCACTGTTTCTGGATCCCGCATCCTGCTCTACTATAGTAGACTTCTGTGGAACTTTTGGTTCCTTTTGTTCCACCCATCTCTCCTACCATCAAAGAGCCCTTTGTCTCTCTGATTCCACCAACACACCATCCCACTCAGTGTCTACACTTTACGCGCTCGTTCTGATGCACATACTCAAGGGCTCACTAAACCCTTGTTGGACCCTGAATCCCCTCAGGATGACATCCCCAACACTGCTCCGATTCCAAATGAGGAAGGCAATTCTTCTAATAAGGTACACAATCAGACATGCTCTCTCCATCTTATGGCAAACTGTGTCTTTTCACATATTATCACCAAGCTCTACAGCATTTGCTACAGCTCTAACAAATCATCAACTTCCATCTCCTATTGAGGTTGTTCTAGCAAACCTTGCCTGGAAAGCTGTTGTCATGGAGGAGATGAATGCCCTTAAGTGAAACAATACTTGGGACATTGTTGATTTTCCTCGGGGCTAAGAAAGCAGTGGAATGCCGTAATGCATTAGGCGCAGTGTAATGCCGATGGATTTTTAGCATCGAATCTAAATCTGATTGATCCTTTGAATGCAAACGGTTGGTTGTCAAAGGGTACTCACAGACCTACAGAGTTGACTACGAGGAGACATTTGCTATAGTGACTAAATTAAACACCATTATGGTTCTCTTATCCCTGACAGTGAATCTAGATTGGCCCTTATTTCAACTTGATGTTAAAAATGCATTCTTGAATGGTGATCTTATAGAAGAGGTTTACATGGCTCTTCCTCCAGGCTTTGACTCCACTACCTTCCAGAGGGAAGTATGTAGACTGTGAAAGCCCCTCTATAGATTGAAGCAATCACCATGAGCGTAGTTCGGGAAGTTCACAAATGTGGTGGTAGGCCATGGATTCACTCAGGCTCAATCAGATCACACACTCTTCTTCCGACATTCCTCTAGCAACCAAGTAGTTATCCTTATTGTTTATGTCGATGATATTGTTCACACAGTGAATGACCTAGTAGGATTGAAATCTTTAAAAGGCATTCTTGTTGCCTCCTTTGAGATGAAGAGCTTTCTCCGCTATTTCTTAGGCATGGAAGTTGTTCGGTCATCTCAGGGCATTTGTCTGTCTCAGTGAAAATATGTCATTGAAGTTTTGATAGAGAACAATCTTCTTTTGTGCAGCCCAATAGCTGTCCAGATAGATCCAAATGAAAAGCTTCTTGATATTCCTAATGCAATTTTTGTAAACAAGATTCGCCACCAGCTCCTTGTAAAAAAACTCACATACCTCGCCCATACATGCCCTGACATATGCCACAATTGGAATAGTAAGTCAATTCATACATAACCCCTATGAGCACCATCTCCAAGTTGTCCACTAGATTCTCCGCAATTTAAAAGACACACAGGGCTCAAGTTTGTATTTTTCCCGCCACAACTCTCACA